ATGGGGCCCAGATCCCCGCCAGAATAGATGGGACCCAGATGCCCCGCCAGAATAGATGGGGCCCAGATGACCCTATTCTGGCGGGCATCTGGGCCTATGCTGTGGTGAGACCTCTTTGTGGGATCCGTGACATGCCACATCTATGGGCTGTGCAGTGCCCTGGGCAATGGGCTGACAACGTTTGTGCCAAACCATCAGCATTGTCACACATAGTGATGAAACAATTCAAAAGGTAAATGTGGAAACAATAGCAAAATGTGGAAACAATAACAGAAAGGAAGGTAAGAAAAATAGAAAGGTGCATTGACGCTTTCTTTTTCTTCCCCTTTCAGTTTTTCCTTTTTGCCTTTTTGCCCTGCCATTCATCTTTTGTTTTGTTACAGCCGTAAGTCGCCCCACATTTGCACGGATGGTGGGAAGCCCCTGCGCACCTGTCCGCCATATCAGCACACTTGCAGCATGTGGATTACAGCAGTAAACCCTAAACCCTAAACGAGGATAAATTGGAGGAGGACAGCTGAAGAGTCAGGGGTAAGTCAGACCCTGGTGACAGCCGGTCGTCAGGCGTGATGAGGGTGCTATACGAGCACACTTGCAGCATGTGGATTACCCCAGTAAACACTAAACCCTAAACCCCAAAGGGACTAAACCCTAAACTATGGTGAATGGAGGAGGGCAGCTGAAGAGTCAGGGGCAAGTCAGACCCTGGTGGCAGCCGTGGCAGGCGTGATGAGGGTGCTATACGAGCACAGTTGCAGCATGTGGATTACCTCAGGAAACCCTAGACCCTAAACCCTAAACCCTAAACCCTAACGATGATGAATGGAAGAGGGCAGCCAAAGAGTCAAGGGTGAGTCATCCTGTTGTGACCGAGGGGACAGGCGTGATATAGATGCTATAGTATAGCATCCACACTTGCAGCATGTTCATTACAGCAGGGGGCAGGCGTGATATAGATGCTATAGTATAGCATCCACACTTGCAGCATGTGCATTACAGCAGTAAACCCTGAGCCCTGAACCCTAAACTACGATGAATGCTATAGTATAGCATCCACACTTGCAGCATGTGCTAAGTCTGACCCCGGTGACATAGGGGGGGGCAGGCCTGATGATGATGCTATGGATGCTGACACCTCAAAGTTCAAACCAAATAAAGAAATCCAATGCACTACCGTCTTCACCCGAATACAACGCCCAGTTATTATCGCCGTACCTAGAATGAAAGTTGAACCAGATACGGCTATAATGACCGGGCGTTCTATTCAGGTGAAGACGGTAGTCATTGTGACAGCTGGCATTCACCATATCCATAAAACATTATGACAAGCCTGATGATTGCAGGCAAGAAGGAAGGAACCAAGTGCATCACAGGTGAGCCTGTGGGACTCGGTCAGTGTAACGTCCTTGGCCACAAAGTGGATGTGCTCTGTCTGCATGTGGAGGGTGGATACAATGGGGAAACGAGGAGCTTTCCTCTGCAGATATAGCTCCAGAAGCCATTTCACTATAGTAGTACTACATTGTGTGGACAGGGATGGTGGTGCTAAAAGCCAAAGCCAACTGCGTATGTGTTGATCATATTTGTTGTGCATGATGTACACGCAACATACACACTTGTGGCGGCACATAAGGCAAGGTGAACGGATGTACCGCTCTGTGCCGTACATGATGCATGCGTCACCAATTGCATTTGCAAAAAATGTGAAGAATCCTAAAAAAGACGTATCATGCTTCGCGATCTGAAAAGGTATTTTGAATTTTTGAGCAACTTATGGGTGGGACACTATGTCAAGTCAAGGTTTGTTATTAAAAATTTTAAAACTTCAATTACTCGGCATTCTTTTGGCTGGGTTGAGTATGTCCATGCTGTGCTAAAATCATACCAAAAATGATTACCAATTCTTTTTGGTCTTGGAAAAAAGTGGAAGGGTAGAAGGTGTGAGTGGTCGGAACTCTCTAAGCGTGTGGCTGGCTGCACTGTGGCACGATTTCAAAGTCGCAAAGCTGAAGTATTGTTTCCTGGCGACCACGATGTTCAAGCATTATGATGGGCTTGTTCCTTTTTTTTTCCTTCAATGGGATTGTATGTGTTAGTAGTACTTAGTACCATCCACTTCACATAGTATGACCCGATCCACATGGTACCACCCGATCCACATGGTTACCGTCCAACCCACATAGCATCGTGCAGACTGGTATTGGGCCGAGGGCCTAGTTGTGCCTAAGAGTGTGTGTGTGTGTGTGTGTGTGTGTGTGGCTGTGTGTATGTGTGTTAAATGGCTGTGTGACCCGCCCCACATGGTGCCACCCGATCCACATGGTTACCGTCTAACCCACATAGCATCGTGCAGGCCGGTATTGGGCCGAGGGCCTTGTTGTGCCTAAGAGTGTGTGTGTGTGTGTGTGTGTGTGTGTGTGTGTGGCTGTGTGTATATGTGTTTTATGGCTGTGTGTGTTGCTACCATCCAGTCCACATAGTATGACCTGCCTTCAAGGGTACTGCCGAGTCCACATGATACCACCCAGCCCACATAGTACTGCCTGGCAGTGCCAAGGGCCAAGTTGTGCCTAACTTGGCCACTAGTCAGTCCACATACACGTGGAATATTGACTAGCGAGAGGCCCATGTGGAAATTTGTGGGGAGAGGAGGGGGGGGGGGGTTGAGCACAGCTGGCTGACATAACATCACACACATACCCCACATTACACCACCCAGTGCACCTACCCTCCACTGTGCCTAGCCGCACAGTACATTACTCTGCAGTCAGATCGCCCAGTCCACATGGTAGCACCCAACGCACGTAGTATCACCCTTCCTTCCCACAACATTGCACATGCAGCCCACATGGTATCGCAATAGTACCACATAGTATGGCATTCCATGGAGCCATGTAACGGCACCCTCATTCGGATTCATGTTTGAAATTGCAAACACAAGCAACACAGACACGTGTGGATCTCATCTTCCTCCTGCTGCGCCGAGACCGCGGCACACCTTGACTTCAAAAGCTGTAAAGATGATTCAGCAGCAGACAGTTTTTTACTGACCTCAATTGTCAATTTGCACGCCATCAGTATCCGCTTGACGGCATTAATACCTTTCTTTTCTTCTCCCCCTTTTCGACTTATGTTACTCCTACTCGGTAGTAGGCTACTGTCTTCCTGCAAATACAGTGCATAATACAGTGCATAATACTGCAGATTGATATTCGCCCACCATAGAGTGCGTCCAATGAATTGGACCCACTCTCTGAATATCAATTTGTTCCGCTGCATTGGACACCGAGTGCACTGGGTCCAGTGCAGAGGAGCAAGGGCAAGGAGACCAGACGCCCACTTCTTTGCGTGGTGTCGTGCTTTTGTGTGGGAAAAAGGACAACAGCACCATGCAGTGTCAGCAGGTCATCAGGAGGATGATCGGATCCATCGCCTAACGTGATGTACCCAGCAAGCAAGTGGGGCCTGGCTAAATACGCAAAGGTTGAGTTCATAGTATCTTCATAGTATCTTCATAGTATCTTCATGGTATCTTCATAGTATCTTCATAGTATCTTCATAATTATGCATATGCCCACTGAGTGATGCATTTGTAACATCCATGATATCACTGTGTTGATGTGGATGTGGTAAGCGGCGAGTACACGATCTGGCATGCCAAGCATTTCCCGCAAATCGAAAAGAATAAGAAGCCAGGTGGTTCTGTAAGCCAGCTGGAGTATATTTCTACAATGCCAGAGAAGGGTTGCAGTTTCCCACTTCATATCAGTGGCAGAAGTACGAGGAGTGTCTTCCGGCTAGGAGGGGGTCGAGTCAGTGAAAGCCCGGTTGCCACCACCCTCTGCAGTGCAACAATTGCTCACTGTCTATGGTGTCTCGAGCCTTGGCAGGGTTGCTTGAACTTGCTTCCCTTCTTCATGAGTGGATTTTTCAGGCTTGCCGGTGAAGAGTAACTGGACTGTTGGCCCCCAGAATAGAAGGGGCGGGAGTGTGTTTTGTGTTAAAAAAAAAAAAAGAACATTGGCACTGGGAGCTGATAGGCTAAGTGGCTTAAGGGGACATCAAGAAATGTTCGGTACAGAGGGTTTAGGGTTTAAGGTTTGGACAGAATCAATGGGCAATACACAGGTATGTAGAAATAGCGGGCGAGCTCTTTCTAGGAGACATAGCACTATATGGCAGAACTGGTTTTCAGATCTGAGAGGAAAGAGAGAGCCATGGCAAGCTGACAGTCAATCCTCCACCAACGGTGGAGCAATCAATGCTGCCCTGGGGTCCTTCGGCCGAACGAAAGGAAGCGTGGGTGTCTTTTGTGATGTGATGTATATTTTGACTTGCCGGGGGAATAGGAACCGGACTGACGCTCCCCAGAATAGAAGGAGCCAGGACCACAAGGCCCTGTTTTAAAAAAAAAAAAAAAAAAAAAAAAAAAAAAAAAAAAAGGAGGAAAAACAACAGTAGCCTGTTTTGTTTTTGAAGGAGAGTTAGGTGGGCTATATGGGGGTTAACGAGAGGTCAACGAGATGATCGAGATCATTATGCGGTGGAAAAAAAGGTGACTCCGAAAGAAAATCACAAAATCAGAGCGTTAAAAAAAAAAAAAAAAAAAAAAACTTTGGGTAATATCTGTCGATTCTGTACTTCAGTCCAGGAGGATGACTGCTCACTGAAGGAATGCCTGTTTTCAAGTGTTTTGTTTTTGAAACAAGTACAGTCGCGGCAGGTTTTGAGTTCGCAAAGGCAAAAAAAAAACAGGTGCCGGCGAAGAGATCACGTCGCAAGTTTGAAACGGCAATTTCAGTTGAAAAGGATCCGTTTGGCCTTCTCTCCTCCTCCCCCCCCCCTGCCCGTCTGACACTACGTCCGGCCCCGGTAGTTACTACACCCGTGCCTCTGTCACGACCACGGTACTTTCATTGCTTTTCGGAACTGGGCGGCAGTTTGTTTTTGCGGACGCGTGTTTTTTTTGCGCATTCGAAACTCAAAAGTGACATCAACGTACTTGCCCCTTTGTTTTTTTTGAGGAGAAGGGGGGGGGGGGGGGGGGGGGGGGAGGGATCGCCCCTAAACTTATTGTATCCATCTGATTCATGGTTGATTGTTTTGATGTTTCTCGCCGTCTCACGTGTTTCTGGCGTCCTTGTACATGCATACACTTTTCGTAGGTTTGCGAGCTGTCTAGCCTGTCGATTTATGAATTTCATGACAAAGATATCCCCCTGTGTATGGATATTTCCAGCGAACCGGAGCACAGATATCCCCAACACTTTGTTGGCAAGTCATGAAACACACATGCAACACACCCTCAATGCCATGTTTCCTTTTGTTTGTCGTGCAGTATGGCCATTATGCTATATGCTATTGCAACCAAGGAGCGCATGAAGATAGACTGCAACATGAAGGTATGTGCTTTGTACTCTGCAACATGAAGAGAGAGAGAGACAGGGAGAGACCGAGAGACAGAGACACACAAACACACACACACACACACACACACACACACACACACACACACACACACACACACACAGAGACAGAGCGCGCGCGCGCGCGCGCGCGAGAGAGAGAGAGAGAGAGAGAGAGAGAGAGAGAGAGAGAGAGAGAGAGAGA